CCATCTATACCATCAGGGCCCTGCAGGGCTCTTGGATCCCAGATCTCTCCCAAGGTCCCTTGCGCACTTAGGACACTGAGTATTGCCTTCCTGGCTTTACTCTATGGATCAGAGTCTTCTGAATGTAAAATGAAGTTGCTGAACCTGAGCATTTCACAGGTTCTATGACTCTATGACTCTGGCTTGGGAAATCTAACTTCGGGAGATATCAGAAGAGTGGAACACGGCTGCTGCAGAGACCCTCCCACAGCAGCTCACCAACATCACACAGAGGCACAGTCCACTCCTGCGGCCAGCCTCCCTCTCTGAAGGGAGCCCAGGCCTATCCATCCATCCCTCTTGTTACAGGAGCTACTAAACAGAAACAGTGCTAAGATCTTGAGCCACTCCCTAACTTCCACAGGTCCAATGACTACTATGCTAGGCTCTGGAAAGCCAACTACCTCTCCATTTTGGTCTCCAAATGACTATTCTCACTCAACAGGGAGGGCTAGGAGTGAAGAGGCTATAAGAAAGACCAGTTCATTTTCTAGAACCTAAGGAAAGGGCTTAGAGACATTTCATCTAAACATCTCATTATACACATGAGGAAAGTGTCACCAGCTGGGGTGTGTCTCAGTGGTAGAGCATGAGCAGAGCGTGCACAAGGCCCTGGATTTGGAGCCCGCCATCACCATCCCCCAACAAGAAAAAAGCAGTGGGGGTGGGGTGGTACACTTGCTGATCCCAGCACTCTGGGAGCCTGAGGCAGGAAGATCACAAGTCTGAGCTCAGCCTATGAAATGTAGTGAGACTGTCTCAAACATCTGTGCTATCAAGGCTCTATGTTCAACCCCTGTAGGGGTGGGGGGATAAAAAGCATAAGACGTGGCCTTTCAAGGTTCTTCTCATCTGAACCAGTGCTGTTTCTTATTTTTTATATCAAACACATGAGAGTTTTCTCTTCAAAAATACAACCCACTCAAATAGATTTCTTTTTCACTCATTAGAGCAGGTACAGGTTTCACTAAACAACATGCCCAATATCATATACTGAAGCTCCTCAACTATCTTTTTTTTTTTGCGGAACTGGGGATTGAATTTAGGCCCTTGCACTTGCCAGGCAAACGCTTATTCTACTGAGCCATCTCCCTGGTCCCTCAACTATCTTTTCTAATCCACATTTAAGTAGGTGCCAACTGGCTAACAACCACTTTGAGCTGTGGCAGATGTACTGCACCTGTTTCACGTCCCCAGCACAACCAGTCACCTTGGCACAGCAACATTCAGGGGATAAAGTGAAGATGTTATTCCATCACGCCCCCTCCCCTTTTTAATGTGTTTGGTACAGGGTCTCATTACGCGGCTCTACTCCTCTGTTTTCAGCCTCCCCAGCGCTGGAATTACAGGCCTGCGCCAGCATGCTCTTATTTGGTCACTGGCACAGTGCGCTGGGGTGCGGGGATGCCTTGGCACATGGTGCAGGGAATGGAACCCCAGTCTCTGCGCTTGCCTAAATAGGTGCTTAGTCCACTGAGCTACCTTACTGGCCTCATCCTGCCCATTTTTGTTTCACAGAACTTTTATTTCAAAAATGGCAGCAACGCTATGCTACTACTGACATCTCTGGTTTCAGAACTTGACACAGCTAAGACAGGAATCGGGATGTCCCAAAAACTTAAGGGGGTCCATTGAGAGTTTCATTCAGCATGCTCTGTTCAACTGTCCAAAACTAAAACAAAAATCGTGAATGAAATGTAGGAGTGCGGGGCCTGGGAGATAGCTCAGTAGAATAAGCACTTGCCTGGCAAGCGCAAGGGCCTGAGTTCAATCCTCAGTTCCGCCAAAAAAAAAAGAAAAGAAAAAGAAATGTTGGAGTATGACGCTGAAAACTGAGGCAAGGGGCTGGCCAGATAGCTCAGCGGACTAAAGCGCCTGCTTAGGCAGAGGTGCAATTGAGACTGGGAGTGGTGGCATGTGCCTGTGATTCCAGCTCTTGGGAGGCTGTACAAGGCGGATCACTATGAGTCAGATGTAGTAGTGAGACCCTGAACACCCTGTAGACTCTTCCCTAAAATACATATAAATAAATAAAAAATTTAAAAAACAACAACAAAGGCATACAGAGGTAATCCTTGGCATTCTCCAATGCAAACTGCCCAGGGAAGGCACTTACCTCCTTACATGAGCCACCCTACTGCTTGGCAACTTCTGAGTTTTATATCCACAGTTGTTTAAACAATAGAAATATAAACAACTTGAGTACTGCTGTTAGACCTAAAAAGGCGAGTGTAAATGATTTCCAAAACCTTAATATCCTCAGTAAAAACCTACATTGAAAGGCCAACTGTGGGCTGGGGAGATAGCTCAGTGGCTTAAGCGCCCACCTGTCAAGCCCACCTGTCAAGCGCAAAGTCCTGATTTCAATCTCTTGTCAAAAAACAAACAAAAACAAAAACAAAAAACAAAACCCACAACTGTCAGCTCCTATCGTCAGTTTATTCAACAAAATGCTTCCACTTCTGAGCAAAGCGTAAGATTTTTAGGATCTTTCCCTATAAGAATTCAGAATTAGTTCACCAATATCCAAAGTGTCAATTGCTTCCAAACTGCTTAAAGCTCCAACCACTGGGAACTTATCCAGCCCAAAGCAAACATCGTGCTCTCAACCTATTCCTTCAGCTAAAAATCAAAACATCTCCACTGCCCACCTCAGAGGCAAAAACCAACTCGCATGAGTCCTAAGCCTCAGGCTTATGACTGGAGATTTTCCGGACCCCCCCAGGGAGGAACTGGGGGTGCACACGAGATTTGCAACACCCAAAAGGGTTCAAGAGCAGAAACGCACCGCGTCCCCCTTTTGTCCCCTGCAAGAGCCACATTCGGAGGGGACACCCCATTTCTTTGCGTCTGGCTGGAGGTGTAGCAACTCACAGGGGGGCAAGTGGCACCTTAAACCCAGGTGGGCTGCAAGGTGCGTCCCGGATTCCCGAGTAAATAAACCGAGGTTCGACAC